AGGCGTATCACATCGCCTGGATTATCATGGTGGTAAGTGGCGGGGAGCGTGTCTTGAAGGACGTCGTGGCTTGGGCTCCAGTAACCTCCCGTTTGTGCTCGGCCCATGCAACCCCATTCCCCTCCCCCACCTCCCCGACCCTTTTACAAACCCCCTCGGCCACCCTCTTCCCCAGGTCGACTATGGGCTGAGCCGCCGGAGGCACCCCACGATGGGCCTCTCTAACTCACACCCCAAGAACAGGGCCTAGATCACAGACCTTCACAAGAGGGTGCGACAGGTGGTCATTGACCACTTCAGCAACCACCCCAAGGAGTACAGCAAGGCCATGCAGGAATGGAAATGGGGAGAGTATGGACTTTACGTCCATGAGAGTGGCTTCAAGGACGAGTGGCAGGAACCTGGGGGGAAGGGCAAGGAGAAGGCGCCAAAAGGTGGAGAGGGAGAGGCTGACGATTAAGGGTCCTTTTGCAGGGGTGAGGCAGGTATGTGCAGGGGTGGCATCACCACAGCGTTCAGGGCAGGGGACGGATACAACTAGGACACAAGTGGAACCAAGTAGTGGCGTGGGCTCTAGTGGGAAGGGTCTGTCAGCAGCATTCTGAAGGGGCAGCCATCCCACAATGGGAGGGGCTTATTGCAAGAGCCAAAACTGGCGTGTGCTGGGTTCATAACCATGGGGTGTTTGCAGATGCATGCTGTGGCAGCGTCGTTTGAGGGGTGGGGTGCTGGCAGCGAAATGATGTGAAACAGGTGGGCAGGCGGGTGGTTGTTAGAAATAGACTGCAAATACCACTTTTGTATTTGTACTTTTATATCCTAGTTTAGGTTGTGAATGTTCCAGTGGGTTGGGGTGTACTCACAAATCCCAACCTCACCCAATTGTGATCCCCACAATCTCCAATTACCCAATTGGAGATTCCGGAGATCCCAATGGGGATTTCCTCCAATTCCCCCTTCATCCATTCTCTCTCACCTTGCCATGTACTTATAGAGCCTTGGGCTCCTTACCTAAGCAATCATTTCAACTCTATTTCTTACATGGTATCAGAGCGACCTATTCGCACACGCGGATCAAGATCCTAATCTCAACGTGCCCGCGCTGCGCGCACTTCATCGTCGCGACATTCGTTTCGAGTCTTCGGAATTTCGACGTGCTCCACTCTGCAGTCGCGCCTCTCATCGTCGACCACCTTCGCGCTCTACCTCGTTGAATTTTTCATCTCTGAAGCGTTCACGCTTCTCATCGTCGATTTCCTCCTCAGTTCTCCTTGGTCGAATCTCAATTTCGACCATCTCTTAAAACTCGTTCTCGAGTTTCCCCTCAGACCCCGCCAGAATAGGCGAACTCCCCTCGTGAAATCGCCTCCACGAACTTCTCGCGTCAAATCAGGAGCAGGTACACAGGTTGAAGCGGAGCGGAGCTGGTTGCGGAGCTGGATGCGGAGTTGTGTAGCTGCGGGAAAGGGCCTGGGGGTGTGTGGGTCCGGGGTTAGACATAGGCTCAGATTCAGTTTCAAGTCGGCGTTTTAACGAATTTTCGCCGACGCCATTTCCTACTTAGCGGCATTTTGATACAGCCGTCAGAGTGATTTTCAGCAATTCTTGTCGACCAATTTCCAGAAGTGCCGCGCTGCACACCGACAATAGCTTACTCAACCACTTCACTTGCCAACCAGATCCCGCTCCTTCGTCTCGAGCCGGACGGTACATGCTCCAACTACAAGGCTTGGCACTATGGTGTCGACAAGCACCTCCTCAATCGCGAGGTGAAGGGGCTCGAGCTCACCGACGTCCTTCTCAACATCGGTGACGGCAAAGAGCCTCCTAAACCCGAGAGGTACGCCGATCCAGCTAATGCCGCCACCGAAGCAGTTTATGCTGCTGCACTACTCAAGTACAAGAATTGGGAGAAGGCCGATGGTGCGGTCATTAGTGTCTTCATGGGCACCACTCCTCCCGAACTCGACGAAACCTACCACAACTGTTGGTGCATAATCGTTTGCACGTCATCCTGTCGTCTGTTCGCATCATTTCGTTGCATGTGTTTTGTGTGCTACGTTGTTTGTGTGGTTTGTTGGGTTTGCATGTCTTTGCATGTTCATCTTGTGCTTGTGCAGATGTGCTTGGATTGTACATCAGATCGAGCGCATTCCAACGAGCCAAGAATTGTTGGAATCGGAGCACATATGAAGAAGTTACGAAGAAATGTTTGATGGATTTGTTACAACTCATTGGAAGTCCTTGGCAGCTGCTACACCAAATTGGAGAGCCCTAAACGAGGAGGGACCAGCATGTGTGGGCTTTTGTCCCCACCTGCAGCTGCAGCATTTGGGGTTTGGAGCCAACCTGGCACAGTGTGAATTTTGTCTTGCCAGGCTGGCTGAACCTGAGGATGGGGAGTCAAGACTTTGACTCTTGTCATGTTCTTGACCAAGGGCCTCCAGGGTCCTTCCCTTTCATCCTTCCTTCCACCCCACCTTCCAACTATGCTTCAATGCCTTTTCCATCATGCCTCTGAACTTGTAAGCTTCAATCATAGTGACTCTGAGGACTGTCAACTTCTCCTAGGGCAGATTACCCCCCAGTGCGCCAAACGCCATAGCTCATCGTTAAGCTACGGAATCGAGTGATTCAACTTTCAGTGAAAGCTGACGCTGCAAGCTACAACATATCCGATTTTCAGATCGTTTCATCGATTGGAGTTTTGGATATAGCTTTTCGAAGGTCGCGAGTTTTCTGGGCGTCATAACGAAGTGCTGCAGAAATTTCCAAGGAGCCATTGAATCATCTGCTTATAGCCTTCTCTAACCAACAAGTGGTATCAGAGCCCATTATCACGCATTTGGGACCTAAAATACGATGGGAGATAAGGAGGACTCTGGTGGAGGTGATACTTCAGTCCAAGGAGGCAGCTCAACCCAAGATTCTGGCATTGCAGCGCAAAGGGGAGCGCGTACAAGCCAGGGGTCACTGCTTAAGGAGGTTGAAGAACTTCACCATTGAGAAGTTCTCTGGAGATGGCTATGATGATTGGGCATGGAAGATGCAGCTCTACTTTCGACAAATTGGCCTCTTGAAGCTCATGATTGGAACGGAGCCAGGCCAAAGGAAATGGCAGAGCAAGCGGACTGGGATGAACGTTCATCTGCTGGGTATTATCTACTGTCACAAAGCTTGGAGCTGAACCAGAGGCATCACATCATGCATCTGCTACCGGAAATTGATTGTGGGCCCAAGGCATGGGCAGTGCTCAAGGACCTGCACGCTCCGACATCGGTTGCCGCTTCTCTCATGCTGGATCGGGAGCTGTCCATGCTGCGGTTGAGCGAGAATGAACCTGTGCAGCCCGTACTGGACAAGATGAGGGAACTCTACGCGAAATTGGCGATTGGGCATCACGTACCCTGAGCAGACTAAGTGTCTCAAGATGCTCAGCCTGCTGCCCGAGTCTTGGCTGCAATTTATAAGCGGACTCAGCTTGCCACAAAACCAAAGTCAATGGACATTGGAGTGGATTCGCACCAAGATTCTGGAAGAAGATTTTCGTCGCTACACTGCGCGGAGGTGATGACAGCACCAGCGGCTATGCCATGCAAGGGACATGGAGGGATCGAGGGCGTGGCAATCGCGGTCGCTCTTACTACAACCAAGGTGGTCGCGGGACTTGGAACCAGCGGGGGCGTGGTGGCGCTGGTGCAAGAGGAAGAGGTGGTCACTCCAACAATGACAACAGTGAACCACGCTTGAGGGGAGAGTGCTGGTATTGCAAGGAAGAAGGGCATCCATGGTTTCGCTGCTCTACCAAGCCCGACTGGTGGACCCCTTGGAACCAATCGCAAAAGGGGAATGGAGGAAAGCAACCACATGGAGGTGCCAACATGGTAGCTGATCCTGCTGAAGAAACCTCCAAGGATGACAGAGGAATGGGAAATGAGGAGAGGAATGCTGGACAGTTCTACCATGTGTGTGACAAAGATGACAGTGGCACAGCTGTTGCAAGGGCTGGAGAGGAATTGCACCCGCTTGACATGTGGGTTATGGACTCTGTGCTGCATTGACAATGACACCACGCAAGGACTTGCTGGATGCTGTGCGAGCGCCTCAAATCTCTGAAGTGCGCTCAGCATCCGGACATGCAGTGAAGGTCGCTGGAGTTGGTCGAGCTGCATTCAGAGCACCTGATGGTGGACTGGTTGTGCTGAAGGAACGTGTTACTCGTACGGGGGCTGAAGGCCAATCTGATATCGCTTGCGCAAGCTAGGCCAGGCCGGAGTTAGCAACCACCACCAATGGATCCAAAACATTCAAGGAGATCGTGTGTTATGGGATTTACACGAAAGCAGAGATGTCTTCAGATCCATGTGGCAGATCCCTGCGCTGATATGGGAATCAACAAAGAAGGAGCTGGGAGTAGTAAAGGCGGGATCTGGAGTCCAGGGGGAGTGCAATGCAGTTAGTGCTGCAGGAGTGAGGGTTTCTGCAAGATCAGGGGAGACTGATTGGGAAACTGCACACAGGCGTCTAGGGCATGTGGCTATGCCATTGCTGCAGCAAATGAATAAGGAAGAAGCAGTAAAGGGGCTGAAGCTTTCTGGGCAACCAAATGATACCAAGTGCGAGACGTGTCTGCTGAGCAAGTTCACACGGTTCCCCTTTCACGGCGTAGCTGGAAAAAGCAAGGCAGTACTGGAACTGGTGCACATGGACCTGGTAGGACCTTTTCCAGTTCAAGGAAGAAAGGGGAAAAGATACTTCCTAACAATAGTTGATGACTGGAGTCGGCTGATGTGGGCATACCCGTTGAAGCAGAAGGATCATGCTGCCTCAACAATACGAGATGACTGGCTGCCGTTCGTCGAGCGACAATCTGGGCACCCATGCAAGAGCATCAGAACCGACCGAGGTGGAGAGTTTCTAGGAGGAGATCTGACTGCGTGGCTCAAGAAACAAGGCATTGAGCATCAGCTAACGACGTCCTATACCCCTCAGTCAAATGGCGTTGCTGAGAGGGCTAATAGGACCATCCTGGAAACTGCGCGAGCGCTGCTGATCGAATCAGGGCTGGGGAACTCCATGTGGCCTCATGCGGTGAGGCATGCTACAGTGGCAAGGAACCACGTACTCACAAAGGTGGCTGATGATATGTGGGTGCCGCTGGAGAGGTGGCTTAGAAAGAAGCCTCCAGTGGACATGCTTAGAGTGTTCGGATGCATGGCAGTGGCGCATGTCCCTAAACCGTATAGGACAAAGCTTGGAGCATCTGCACTGTGGTGTGTGCACCTTGGGCTTGCGGCAGAGAGCAAGGGGTGGCTACTCTGGGAGCCCTCAAAGAATGTGCTGTTTGACAGTCGGGATGTCAAATTTGTGGAGAACATCATGTATGGCAAGTGGGAGAAGCAGCCGGAGGCAAGGGTCACTCAGCAGCTGGAAGAGATCACTATGCACTTCGATTTGTCCGAACCTGAGGACAGCGAAGTCACTGCGCCAACGGCAAGCGGTACTGATGAAGGAAGCAATGAGGATATTGCAGCTGATGCTGAAGTCAAGGGATCCGGAGCAGCAGCAGCAAGAGGCTTCCAAAACACCAAGTCTGCCAAAGCGAAGGAAACAGATTGGTGGGGGGACAAAGGATTAGGTGAAGGTGAAAGAATGGGTAAATCCAACCATCTACCCTGCACGTACCAGAATGGCAACAAGAAAGCTGCTGAGCTCTACAAGTTAAGGAGCCACAACTGAGCAGCAGGAACAGGCTCAAGGCGAAGATGCAGTGCTGTTCTTGGGTGATGACCAAGAGTCAGATGACGAGGAGCCTGCATACTGCTTTTACGCACCAATACAACCTCCGAGCATGGATCATGCGCTAGCCGGGCCTCAACGGGGGAAGTGGCTCGTTTCAAGAGATGCAGAGTACAACAGCCAGATGGAGAATCACACATGGGACCTGGTGTACTTGCCAAATGGGAAGAAGGCAATACAGTGCAAGTGGCTGGCAAAAATCAAGACGGATGAGAAAGGAGAGCCATCAGTTTACAAGAGCAGGCTGGTGGCAAAGGGGTTTCAGCAGAAAGAGAAGGAAGATTACAAAGAAGTGTTTGCCCCCAACTGCTACAAGGCCATCTATGGCTTGAAGCAGGCCCCGAGATGCTGGTACAACAGGCTGGCCAGTGCACTGGAAGGGATTGGATTCCGTGCGAGTGCATGCGACGAGAGCCTATTCCTGATGGGCGAGGGGGAGTCGCTTGTGCTTCTGCTGGTGTACGTGGATGACATCCTGCTCTTCAGCAGCAGTGACAAGGAGATCGATGGGGTGCAGCAGAAGCTCACAGAGCAGTTCAAGTGCAAGTCACTTGGAGAGGCAAGGTACTACCTGGGAATGCACATTGAGCGGGATACTGAACGTGGCTGGCTCAAACTGCATCAGGGACAGTACATCAACACCTTGGCTGAGAAGTACTCTCTGCAGGAAGAACGGGTTGTGGTCACACCTTTGCCTTCCGAGTTCAAACTCATAAAGGCAGCTGAAGGAGAAGGAGTTGAAAGTGAAGACCAGAGGCAATTCCAATCCATGGTCGGGAGCCTACTCTACGCTGCTGTGCATACTCGGCCTGACATCAGCTTTGCTGTGGGACAGCTGGCTCGAGTAGTGCAAAATCCAACAGAAGAGCAGTGTGGTGCAGCGGAGAGAGTGGTGCGCTACCTCAAGTCATACCCTACAGTGGGAGTACAGTATTCAGCCTCTGCTCAAATCAGTCAGAAAGGAGTTGAAGTTCTCAAAGAGAAGGGGGAGCAGCTTGGAGAAGGAAATGTGTTCCTTTCCTGTTTTGCTGATGCCACATGGGCTTCTGAGCATGAGGATTCATCATCAGTAGGTGGATACATCTGCATGGTGGGAGGTGGGCCTGTAAGTTGGAGGTCCAAGAAGCAGTCTGAGACGGCACTATCGTCAGTGGAATCTGAGTACATGGCGATGTTTCATGCGGCAAAAGAAATGATTTGGCTAAGAAGGCTCTTGAAGGAGATCGGCCATGAACAGACTTGTGCGACACCTCTGTTCAGTGACAGCAAGGGAGCCATTGCCATGGCACGCAATGCAGTTCTTCATGGGTTGAACAAGCACATGAGGATCAAGTGGCATTGGCTGCGGAAGGAGGTGAAGCTTGGGACACTAGATCCGATCTACGTGAAAACTCAGCAACAGCCAGCCGACTTCCTTACCAAGCGGCTAGCTGAAGAGCCACACTGGCGCTGTGTGAGGATGGCGGGAATGTCCTTGAACTAGAGACGGCGAAACAAGCCGACAGTCTGAGGGGGAGTGTGTTGGTGCATATTCGTTTGCACGTCATCCTGTCGTCTGTTCGCATCATTTCGTTGCATGTGTTTTGTGTGCTACATTGTTTGTATGGTTTGTTGGGTTTGCATGTCTTTGCATATTCATCTTGTGCTTGTGCAGATGTGCTTGGATTGTACATCAGATCGAGCGCATTCCAACGAGCCAAGAATTGTTGGAATCGGAGCACATATGAAGAAGTTACGAAGAAATGTTTGATGGATTTGTTACAACTTATTGGAAGTCCTTGGCAGCTGCTACACCAAAGTTGGAGAGCCCTAAAACGAGGAGGGACCAGCATGTGTGGGACTTTTGTCCCCATCTTGCAGCTGCAGCACTTGGGGTTTGGAGACCAACCTGGCACAGTGTGAATTTTGTCTTGCCAGGCTGGCTGAACCTGACGATGGGGAGTCAAGACTTTGACTCTTGTCATGTTCTTGACCAAGGGCCTCCAGGGTCCTTCCCTTTCATCCTTCCCTTCCCACCCCACCTTCCAACTATGCTTCAATGCCTTTTCCATCATGCCTCTGAACTTGTAAGCTTCTATCATAGTGACTCTGAGGACTGTCAATTTCTCCTAGGGCAGATTACCCCCCAGTGCGCCAAACGCCATAGGTCAATCGTTAAGCTACGGAATCGAGTGATTCAACTTTCAGTGAAAAGTTGACGCTGCAAGCTACAACATATCCGATTTTCAGATCGTTTCATCGATTGGAGTTTTGGATATAGCTTTTCGAAGGTCGCAAGTTTTCTAGGCGTCATAACGAAGTGCTGCAGAAATTTCCAAGGAGCCATTAAATCATCTGCTCATAGCCTTCTCTAACCAACATCTGCTTGAGGCCATACACTGGGCGCTTCAGCTTCCACACTGTGTTGGCAGGGTAAGTGCCCGGAAACCCCGGTGGGCGTTCCATGTGAACATCCTCCTGCTGATGTGCGCCTCAACATGTTGTTCCCTGGCACTGCCATGATTAAAGATTGTAGAGGAGTGCCGCATGGAAGAGGGCATATCCCCAGAGTGACCGTGGTGCGTTGGCGTGACTGAGGAGGCAGCGAGCGATCTGAACCATGGTGTGGTTGCGGCTCTCTGCAATGCCGTTCTGCTGTGGGCTTTCGGGGAGCGTGAAGTTTTGCCGAATCCCTTAGGCCGCACAGAAGTTATCGAGTTTCCCATTGCGAAATCCTCATCCACCTCCCCCGACGCTTGTTTGGGCAGACTTCGATGCCCCACCTCCGGCCGCTGCCCCTTCTCCGGTGCCTTCTCTGTCCGGCGTGTCTCACCCGGCCTCCCCAGTATCCTCCGCAGCGGCACCTCCTCCTGCTCCGCCTTCCCCGCATGTCGAGCCCGACTCACAAGTCTCCTATCGGAGGCGCCCAGTCCCTCCGGTCCCACCACAGCCGCCTTCGTCTCCGGCCTCTAGTCACACTCGTTCCAAGGGACCGGCTCCGCCTCTCGCCTGGGGACCAGCCGCCTTCTCCATCCGGTGTTCGGTCACCCCGCCTTCTCCTGCCGGGGCTGATGTCCCCTCCATCCGTATTCGCCCCCGTGCACTTCTGGAGGACAGGCATGAGGAGCTGTTTGACCTTCACGCGGTCTGCCAATTTCTCTCTCACATCTTCCCGGACATTACTGACTGCCCTTCCCTCAACTTCACCGAGAACCCGACCATTCTGAACTCTCGCACAAAAGAGGAAGCTCTCTCGGGGCCTTATAAGAAGTGGAAGGCAGCAATGGATGTGGAGAACGAGGCGTTCATTCGCAACAACAGCTTTGACGATGTTGTTCCCCCTTCCGGTGTCAACATCGTCGGCGGAAAATGGATCTTCCGAGTCAAACAACTCCCAGGCAAAGCTCCACTGTTCAAGGCACGATACTGGCAAAGGGTTTCACCCAGAAGGAGTATCTCGACTTCTTCGAAACATTCTCACCCACGGCCAAGCTCTCGACTGTGCGCGCTCTTCTTGATATAGCCGCTCGCGGCAACATCGAGATCAAGTCCATAGACGCCTCCTCCGCCTTTCTCCAAGGCCAGCTCAAGGAGGATGTTCACATGGAACGCCCACCGGGGTTTCCTGGCACTTACCCTGCCAACACAGTGTGGAAGCTGAAGCGCCCAGTGTATGGCCTCAAGCAGGCTCCTCGTGAGTGGCACAACAAGGTGAAGGAAGTCCTCCTCGCACTTGACTTCCATCCCTCTGCCTCAGATTCCAGTCTCTTCGTTCGTCACTCCTCCGAGCCCTTCTACATCCTCGTCTACGTCGACGACTTCATTCTAGCCGCCAGAGATCCAGCCGACATGGCAGCTGTCCAGTCTGCTCTCAGCTCCGCCCTTCTCATGAAGGATCTTGGTGACCTCAAGAACTACCTGGGGATGGAGATCACTCGTGACCGCCTGGCTTGCACGATCACCCTCTAGTAACTCTGTCTCCACTCCACTCCCACTACAGCATCAGCTCACGGCCCCTCCAGTTCCTTCTCCTGACGCCTGCAAGGACCCGTACCCTGAGCTAGTCGGTTCACTTATGTATGCCATGATGTGCACTCGACCAGACTTGGCTTACCAGGTTAGCGTCCTCTCTCGGTACGTCTCCCCCGGACGCTACACTGCCTCGTAATTGGTCTGCAGCCAAGAGGGTCCTCCGCTATCTACAAGCCACCAAGTCTCACATCCTCACTCTTGGTGGTACCTCTCCAGTCAAGCTCGAGGGATACACAGACTCCTCATGGGCCGATGACCAGACTGACAGACGCTCCTCCCAAGGGTACTGCTTTACCCTTGGTAGCGGAGTCATCAGCTGGCGCTCCACTCGGTCCTCTGCAGTCTCCCTGTCGTCCTGCGAGGCCGAGCTCTACGCGGGCACAATGGCTGCTCAAGAGGCACGCTGGCTCTCCTTTCTCCTCGCTGAGTTAGGCTACCCCCAGCAGTCGCCCACCCTGTGGTGTGACAACCAGAGTGCCATTCATCTCACCAAGGATCCTATGTTCCACTCTCGCACCAAGCACATCGAACTTCGTCATTTCTTCATCCGAGATCTTGTTCAGAGTGACCAGCTGACGGTACGGTACATCGCCTCAGATTGCAACCTCGCCGACCTCTTTACCAAGGCTCTCGGCAAGGCTGACCACCATCGCCTTCTCCGTTCCATGGGGCTATGTGCTCATTGACAGGGTTTGCAGTCTATGGGGGTGTGTTAGAAATAGACTGCAAATACCACTTTTGTATTTGTACTTTTATATCCTAGTTTAGGTTGTGAATGTTCTAGTGGGTTGGGGTGTACTCACAAATCCCAACCTCACCCAATTGTGATCCCCACAATCTCCAATTACCCAATTGGAGATTTCGGAGATCCCAATGGGGATTTCCTCCAATTCCCCCTTCATCCATTCTCTCTCACCTTGCCATGTACTTATAGAGCCTTGGGCTCCTTACCTAAGCAATCATTTCAACTCTATTTATTACAGTGGTGTGCGGGGCTTTCAGGACCAGCAGGTTGGGGTGGGGGCGCTCGGGGGCAGGGTCCTTCTGAGGGACATGAGTGTCCTTGACATTTGAGTTCGGAGATTTACTGCATCACACTGTAGTGGGTATTGATAAGGCCGCTTTCAGCAGCGGCAAAAACTGGAAGTTGTGGTTGGGAGCATTTGTGAGATGAGGCACCGGCAGCAGCGCATGGGTGGGTTCAGCATTAGGCAGTGGTGGGAGGGGTGGGGAGTTAAAGGATTGAGGCAACAGCGGGCGCGAGGAATGGATTTGAGCATCAGCTTGGGGAGGGGGAAATAGGGGACTCGGGGAATGAGGCACAGGTGACAGCAGCGAGAGAGGGGTGTCAGCAGCAGCCAGGGGTGGGGGGAGAGTGGATTCGGGGAATGAGGCACAGGTGGCAGCAGCAATGGAGGGGTCTCAGCAGCAGCCTCGGGGGGGGGGGGGGGGGAGAGGGGATATGGAGAATGAGGCACAGGTGGCAGCAGCACGAGAGGGGACTCAGCAGCAGCCTGTGGTATGGGGGGGGGGGGGGGGGGGGTTGGTTTGTGGGATGAACCACAAGCAGCAGCAGGGCCATACTCATACCTTGGTGGTTAGCTAGGTTTATCACAGCTGCAGCAGCAGCGGTGGGAGAACGTGGGGGCTTGCAGCAGCAGTATGTGCTCTCTCAAAGATGACGGAGGGGTTTGATGCCATCGTAGCGGTCGTTTCCGATTTAATTCCAGGGTAGTGCTCCTTTTTGTCCGGATGCGGTTGGTAGGGCGATCACAGCTTGGATGCGGGTGGAGGTTTTTTTCCTACGATTTTGTGTCACTGATGTGTTTTCTTGTGTCACCGATGTGTTTTATTCTAATGGCCATCTACACCAATTAATTAGCCTAATATCTGTGGCAATGGAGAACTAGCGGATGTGGCAATAACGGATATAGAATGTACCAAAAAGGGGACAGCAACACGCCTCAAACACAATGAAGAGAAGTAAGTGTAACGCGTACAAAATCGGGGGGGACAGATGTGGAGGAAGATGGCAGTGAGGGCTGGGGAGGGACTCCAGTGAGGGAGGGGGAGGGGGGTGGGGATGGAGATGGCAGAGATGACATAAACCCCTCCTGTCACTCTTTCACCCATTCCTCCCTCCGCTGCCTTCTGTGCTTCCCCCATTTCACCCCTACCTTCTGTGCTTCCCCCCTTTCACCCCTACCTTCTGTGCTTCCCCCCTTTCACCCCTGCCTTCTGTGCTTTCCCCCTTTCACCCCTGCCTTCTCTGCTTCCCCCCTTTCACCCCTGCCTTCTGTGCTTCCCCCTTTCACCCCTGCCTTCTGTGCTTCCCCCTTTCACCCCTGCCTTCTGTGCTTCCCCCCTTTCATCCCTGCTTTCTGTGCTTCCCCCCTTTCACCCCTGCCTTCTGTGCTTCCCCCCTTTCACCCCTGCCTTCTGTGCTTCCCCCCTTTCACCCCTGCCTTCTGTGCTTCCCCCTTTCACCCCTGCCTTCTG